ACAATTATAAAGCCATAAAATTATGAGAATGAATTCATAATATTAGCAGAATAAAGATGCTATACCAGAAGAAAGTTGTAAATTATGAGAAAATAGTTGTTTTAATGTGTAAAAAGCTTCAACAGCCTGTAGTTATCAAGATCTAATGTGACCAGCTCAGCCAAACAGGTGTTGATGTGATAAAAGTTTACTGTAGTTATTCCTTATTTATTAAACTGATACTAAAATATAACCTCAAGATGCTCGACATTTCTCATTTTAACACCGATAAAACTGCTTTATCATATAGGAGTTTATGTAACATTATGACTCTTTATGTTATATGACTTTATTCTTGTAAAATTACAACTTCTTTCTAATAAATATACATATTTTGATCTTAATACTCAGTTGTGATGAAATGAAAAGGTTAATGCTAATGCTTAATATAACATTGACAACAACTGAGTTTGTGAAACATGAGTACAACTCAGACAAAAACAATTATCAACTAAACTATACTGTATTTGAAACGTGAAACACATTTTATCTGAACATGCTGGTTCTTTTGCAGGCCTCCCTCCAGCTTTTATACGTATATTCATGAAGTGAGAAAGTCCAATACGCTTTGGATTTGATTTAACCTTTGTCACTTCAAGTGTGTCTGTTTATGAAAAACTGTTGTTTGTCATGTTTGCAGTGTTATGGAAACCCAAGCTGCACAAAACATTGGGTGGCAGCTCATGTGTAGATTGTTTTCATGACTTTGTTATAATTCTCCTTCTGAGCGATGAACCCACCCTGTCATCCATCAAGATTCCAGCAGACGTGTTGTGTGACCGTCTGTAGGTGATGTCAAATCTGTGCTGAGGAGAACAAATAAATTTAAAGAAACTGAGTCCAATAACTTAATCCTTTGTAAGGAAGTTCTTCTAATAGTGTCTGAGTAGTACAATCAAAATGGCGATGCTGTTGGGTCAATAGTCACTCAATGTTTGTGTTTGTTTTGTCCTCAGCTTTACAAAGATCACACATGCTGCGAGTGACTGTACAGCAACAAGCAGCACGCTACCAGAGAATTGGTCCATGTTGTGGACTTCAGCACGGTGAGTAATAAAACAACTGAATACAAATTTGTATGTTATTACGAGACATACACACACACACTCTTGTAACAATGTTGTGTTTTTGTATGTTAAAGGGATCCACGATTAGTTGTAACGTTAGACTTTATTTAATAAACATATATTTTAACCGTAAAATAAAAACTGTAAATATACTATAGACAGTTTAGTTTTTATCATTTTTAAACTAAAAGTTTAAAAATATAGTACACGGATGGAGCCATTTTATTTATATGCAAAGCATTCTGGGTAAATGATGACGTGGATAGGTCCTCGGCTAGCGAGCTATATCCACCCTGAAGGTTAATCTTGGACAATATCTGATGATCGACTCTTTTAAAT